CCTCCTGCAGCCACTTCGAGATTGACAGCACCGGGGGTCGTACATAGAGAATCGTCCAATGTCATCTTCCAGCTCGCCGACAATAGCATCCAGAAGCACTGCTGCCACCAATGTCGTCATCGTCGGTCAGTTGCTTCTCATCGGCGCATTCGAGAGCGTCCTGCAGATCGTCATCGTCGTCTGTGGGCTTGGTGGGCTGCGGTGTTTCAGTTGCGCCAGAGCGGCGCGCAGATCGTCTCAGCACGCCCTTGTCTCGGGCGGCGGCAGTCGGATCAGGAGTCGAGGGAGCGTCAGACTGTGGCAAAGTCTTTGATCTGGTCTTGCGCGAGGCCCGCGAGCTCGACGGCGTTGCCGAAGGCGTCGAGGCGGCGGGAGCAGGAGGTGGGGGGCCGGAGCTCGAGGCTGCCGCAGCACGCTCAGCTGCAAATCGAGCAGCAGCGGCCTGTGTAAATGGCGAGAGACCACCAGGAAGAGCTCCAGCACCTGCCATGGCAGCAAGAGCTCGCGAGAGACCGTCGGCTCGGCGTGATGCACGGGGTCCACGCTCTGATAGACTAAGTCGAGGGCGCAAGTAATCATCGAGTGATTTGAATGTCGCGATAGCGTGGATAGATACCATGATGTTTCGGTAGGGACGTGGAATTTCCGAGTCATCGTCGGCGACCAACCTGAGTCTGATCTGCTTGGCGAGCATGGACGCTGCACTGCTGCGATGGTCGAAGGTGTTGTGGTGGACAGTAATGACCTCAAAATGCTCAGACCTACTGAGCAAATCTTGCAGCTTGTGGATCATGACGCTGAAAGGCGTTGCAGGTGAATCCGCCGTTGCCGTCTTGAGTTTGGCCTTGACCGTGAAGCCCATGAAGACGCGAAGGAAAGTCGAGTGCGCTGCGCGGGCAAGCTCCTCATTGGGATTGCTGAAGACGGCCAGAAGCACGCGCACCAGGCCGGAGGCAAGTAGCTCGGCGCTTGTGACGCTTTCAAGAACCTCTGCGTCAAAGTAGGAGACCAACCTTTCAAACAGTTCGGTGCCCTTATCAAGAGGCACGACGCCGGAGGTTCTGTGGAGGTAGAATGCCTCAATCTCTTCAGCAAGACTGGAAAGATTGGTCAAGACCTTGATCGCCTTCTTCTTCATAGTCTTGCCTTGCTTCTCCGTGTCATGTGTCTCGATGAACTTCTTGGCCACGTCTCGGATGCGAGTTCGCATCGATTGGCCGTCGCCGAGGTAGGTCGGAGGAGCGCCGTCCAGGGACATGGTAGATCCTCTGGAGCTAACAGGTGACCCAGAACCATCGTCTCGGTGTCGGTTGTTCTCATTATCCTCGTCGTCCTCGTCTTCAGCATCGTCCTCGTCATTTTCCGAGCCGTCTTGGTCGTCTTCCTCTGCATCATCCTTCTCCTCGTCAGATCCATTATTGTCCGAGGCACGACCCTCAGCGTCGTTCTCAACTTCAGGTTCAGCAGGTTCCGGGGTACGCGTAGCCGATGCCGAACGAGCCTCGGGCTGAGGGATTTCCTGAGCCGCGAGCTTGGCGATTTCGGAGATGACTCCCTCGCGGTACATCTGATAACGGTACACATCATCAAGACGGTTAAGTAGAAGCTCGGTAGCCTGAAGGCCAAGCATCACCAGAGACGGGTGGTCCTGCTGAGAGAGAATTGAGGCAAGGAATGACGCATAAGGCACAGTCCTCAGCGACTCTCCAAGGATTTTCTCATCGAGGTTGGAGAGCATCTTCAGTTGGGCGGTAAGCACCTTCTGCCGCACACTCAGGTTGACAGTGCTCGAGTAGGCGTCGGTTAGGGTGGGGAAGAGGATCAGGGCAAATCTCCTGACCTCATCCTGGCACTCGCCCAACAGCTCGATTCTCTTGTCGTTGGGCGTCTTGCGAGTCTTGCTTGGCGTGCTGGAAGATGGGGGTGCCGGCTCCGTAGCAGACATTTCAACAAAGTCTCCGTAAGACGGGTCCGCGTTGCGAGGCAGACTCGGAAGCAGCTCGCATATGACGTTGAGGGTTTCAATAATCTGTTCACGAGGTCGATGGATGAGAGCCTGCATGATGACAACGCTGTCAAGTTTTGAGGCAACATCCTCGGTCCCACTCGGGGGTGACACGCCTGTTAAGATTTGATACAACGTTTCGACAATGTTCAGCTTGAAGAGCTCTGCCGATAAACGAGGACTTGAACGCGCAGTGAAGGCCAGTACCCGAAGAAACTGGGTGTGGATTGATGGACCGATCAGGTTGGTGGTGCCGGGGACCAATAGACGTAGAACAACCTTGAGGAGGTCGACACTGACGAGTTCTTCCAGCTTTGAAGATTGGTACTTGAAGCTCTCGACAATTCCCGAAACACAGAGCGACGCCTGCTCAACGACGCGCTGGTCACTGCTGTTAAGCACGTTGAGCAGGGTCGGCATGACGTCCTTGATGACGGAGAATGAATCCTCGGGGATGTTGCGGCAGCAGTTCGCCGCTGTGGTAACAGCTGTACGTTGCGTGCTGGTGGCGAAGAAGTCGAGGTAAGACAGACACGCCGTTAGGCCGCCCTCTCGGACGATGCTTGAAGGATATTCGGCGGAGATCTTCTCGAGAGTGCTGAGTGCCTGCTCGGCAAGGTCGATGAAGGAAATCTCGAGCAGCTTCTGACAAAGCACGGGCACCGCACCGCCATACACCACGTTGGCGACACTCGCGGGTAGCGCTTCCATCAGATTGGCCAAGCTACGGCACGCAAGAAGCATGATCTCTGGATTCTCTTCCCCGGTAATCTCATTGGGCTGCATCAGCGTCACGAGCTCCTTGACGAAGGAATCTGGAGAGAAATGGCCAGAAAGGTTGTCTTCGTTGGACACAAGCAGAATCTCCGAGAGCTCCTGCAGTGCGATGAGCTGCATCGTGGGATCTTCCTTTTGCCTGAGTTGGGCCAGCAATTCTCTCAGGCGGCTCGAGAGCCCAGACATCATGCCAGTCAGGGCCCTAAGGGTGCTGGACAGTCCGCCAGGGCCACCTGGGCCGCCGAAACCGCCGAACGGATCGTCATCCTCGTCGTCGTAGCGTCCGAGATCGTCCTCATCATTCTCATCGTTCTCGTCGCTGTCATCGTCCTCGTGTTGGTGCTCGGGAGGCGGTGGTGGAGGTTGGGGGATATCATCCTTGTTGTCGGCGTCGTCGGTGCCGGTCATGGCAGTATCGTGGTCTGCGGCATTGTTGGCCGTGTTCCTCTTCGTTCGGCGGGTTGAAGTCGACGTGCCAGGTGCGGAGTCTGTAGAAGAAGAATGGTCAGCATTTTGGCAGCCACGAGGCAGAAGCAAACAACATGGTTCGCTAGGTCAAGCCATGCATACCTTGGCTCGTGTGATGGCCCGCTCTCTTGCCTCGACTGGACTTTCTGCTAGAGGAGCCTGATACGGGTGCAATATGCTCGGAGGCGCCTGGGGTATTACTGGGAGGTGGAAGGTCAGCGAAAGGCCAATGAAAAGTGTAGGAAGCCGTATTTCAGAAAGTGTGCGACGTACTCTGGACTAGACATGCTGGCGGGGGTCTTGCCCTTCGCCTTGGCGCGAGGCACAGGTGTTTGGGCGGCGGTCGTTTGGGACGGAGTTGAGGCGTCGTCGGAAGTCTTTTGACGTTTCGAGCGACGGGACGTCGAGGCAGCTTTCGGGTTCGCCGTCGCAGTGGCAGTCGTTATAGATGAGGCGGCCTGGGATGGGCTGTTGGACTGCGGCCCAGCCTTGCGCTTCTTGCTGGGCGGAGACTGCTTCGAGGCCGAGGGAGTGGGATTCTGGAGCGTGGCAGGTGCGGTAGGAGAGGAGTCGGCGCCGGGGGCAGAAGTGTTGGCAGAAGCTGAGGCTGCCAGGCTCGCAGCTTGTCGAGTAGAAGACCTAGTAACCCTGTTGGCAGGCATGAGCGGTTGGCTTTCGTCTTGACGTTTGGGAGGCATGACGAAATGGAGCGGTGAGAGTGGGGGTATCAAAAGGTGTAGAAGAATGATCAAAACCGGCCCAGGCGTGAAGAGGGGCGACCGCGGGCAGGTGGAAGACTCTCAGGGTCCACGAGCCGCGATGCTACAATGCCGGCATGCACACTGAATGGCCGAGTCCGGTCAAGCTAGCAGCCAAACGGAGCGGTTGGTGGTGGAGGAAAGAGGTGGGTAGAGAGGGAAGAGGGTGGAGAGGGTCAAGTAATGGGAGGCAAGGGTGGGAAGCCTTGTGGAAGAATGACGAGTCAAACGATGAGGATTCCCATTTTTCGACCCTTGAAGGACCCGAAAATCTGAGGAGGAGGAGGAGGAGGAGGAGGTGGTGGTGGTGGTGGTTGATCCAAAGAATAATAATATTCGACCCGCCACTACGCACAAGGCGTCAGGTTGGATTGGGGGGACAAGTCTCGAGCGTAGTGCGTAGGTGGTGCAGATGCAGGCAAGTACTTGTGGGTGGTGGGAAGGTGCTATCGCGTTTGCGGTGGAGGGAGGTGCTGCACGCCAAGTGCAGGTGCTGGTGCTGGCTGGTGCTGGCTGGTGCTGGCTGGTGCTGGCTGGTGCTGGCTGGTGCTGGCTGTGCTGGCTGGTGCTGGCTGGTGCTGGGGGCCTTCTGACAGCCACCCCCAGATACAGGGAAGCCAGGCGGTACGAGGGGACACCATAGGAAAGGAAGGGAACCAAACAATAAAGAGACGGCAACATCTTGCTGCTACCCCTACTCCCTCTCCGACAACCATTTGTTCAAGCCGGCAGCCTGGAACATGAATGGCTCTCAAGGTGCCTGGTACGATCCAGAGCACGCCTTCGGTGAAGGCCAGGTGGGGGGACGCATGTGCCTTATCTCCCGGGGATGTGAGGAGTACGCCCTTCGCAGTCCGCCTAGCGGTTCAGCGCTGACGGCCAATATGACCTCCAGTACCACCAGAGTCATGAAAGGGCAGGGGCGGAGAGACTCGAAGAAAGCATTTTGAACTCGAGCAGCAGAGGGCACAGGGAGAAAGAATCAATGAGAAGGGCAAAAACTGACCTCTGTGAAGGCGATATGGAGTCGTCTCGGGAGGAAGACCCGAGGCCGAGAGCTGGCTGTCTTGTGGCCGTCGACGGCACTGTCGTCGTAAGATAAACGTCGTCGTTGTAGTCGGCTGCCGGTCTGAAGCGCGGAGTTGCAGAAGATGTTCGTTCTGCCATGGATCACGCCATCAGACAGGGCAGCAATAGCTGGCGATGGACCACGAGCAGTGTGCTGTTTGTACCCTGCTCTTCTTCTTTCTTTCTGGCTGCCTTGTGTCAAGCTCTCGGGCAGAGGGATAGTTTCGTTGGTGGGAGCGTCGAGAAGGCTATGGTATGTGTATACGTGTGTCCGTACAGTCGGTGCAACGGCCGGTTGAGATGACGCCCGTTCGCTGGAGGGGTTAGGCTCGAGGCGCGACTTGGATGGAGAGCGGTGTTCGGCGGTCGGTCATGGATGTAGTGGGGTGTCGAGCGAGGCGGTTCGAGCCGTCTGCCAAGGGGGGTCTGCGGGTGTTGTCCTTGCTGTCTTTGTCTTCGGGGGATGGTGGCTGTTTCGCGAGGGGGATGAAGAGGGGCAAAGACGCTCCGTATCCTGTCCGGAGAGATTGTGTCGCTGTGTAGGAAAATGGTGTTCGGGGAGTTTGGGCTGCAAAGGAAGGCTATGTACGGTATACTTTGCTTTTCTTGTGCTGCGTTGCGTGCCGTGCCACTTTGGGGTCTCTCGTCTGTCTGGTCTGGTCCATGGACACCACCAACCAACG